AGCTCTTTAGATGGGAGAGGAAAGAAACAGAGGGGAGGAGACATTATCTGGTGAGACACACAATGTCCAAAACAACACAAAGCACTGGGGGGTTTCCCACAGAGTTTAGTCCGGCCGGTGAGATGGGAGGTGGCGAGGGCAGGACAGGGTCCTGAAGGGACAAAGAGTAGAGGTCATCGGAGACTCAGCGCCTGGGGCAAGAATTCAAGAGAAGAGTTTTTGATCTAAAAATGTAAACTAATGTCACATCAAGTTGCTGTATGTGTGTTTTATCACCAACCACCCACCAATCTGTAATAACACAAGGAATATGGCTCAGTCTTGTGGACGGATTCAGGAGAGTAGACTTCTTCCTACTTTAACATCATATTCATTGTTTTTTTCCCAGCTCTGTTAGAATGAGTTCATTCGATCGTGAAAAGATAACGAATACTGATTTCCATTATGAGAACAAGTGTCTATTAGCTCACAGCCTATGAGAGGGTGACACACATCCTCCATGATACGATGACCTGAACATCTCAAGAACACAAATAGGCTATTTTGCACACTCAAAACGTGAGTCTTGCTTACAAACAAGGGTCAATATTTACCCCTCAGTGCACCCAGACCCCCTGGTGGAGGCTAAATTGGTGTTGCTGACCAAATTAAGAACAGTTGACCTGATGTGGGTGTTAAGTGGATGGCGAGATGTCACCAGAATGGTCGCCTTTTTGCATACTGGTACACTGCCCCTTTGTCTTGTCCATGCCTATTGGAGGATAACAAGAGGCTATAAGCTCCTTATCATCACATTACAATTATGGACGATGAATCAGGAACTGTGGCCCTGAGGACCTTGCCCTTACACGGCTATCCTTGTTTTGTTTCCAGCTCCACAGATGGAGAGGTTTTATCATGCATGCATGCAGCCCTTCATTGTATATTACTAGTCGTTCTAGTGAAGAGTCACTGCAAAACTTAGCTGCAAAACAATTGACATATACCTCCCACACTCCAACTTCCAGAAGCAGAAGTAATTTCTGAAGAGGCCTTTGTTGCACGATGGAAAGACTTGATGAAACGATGCTTGAATACGCTTCACAAATTATGGTTTAGTCAGACTTTGCTAACAATCATCATCAAAATTTTATGAACGCAATGCCGTCACGTCCAGTGTTTGCCCTCTCAAGTCTTGGTTAAGAAAAGTCTTGACTTGTTTAAATTATAAATGTAAGCATCAAAACTGAGAGGGCATCGTCTCCCATTTCATGCTGAACAAAACAACAATCTGTTGTTATAAATGTTACTAAGGGGTTAATGGATTTATGGCCTCATGCTCTGCAGCTCTTTTAACAGAAGGTAAGTGGTTGAAGGGTCTTTGTGAAGAATTAAAGACAAAGAGGGGTTTTCAAGAAGAAAAAAATACCAGCCAAACAGGATTTTCACAACCTGGCATCCCTTAATTTTTATTTAAATTTTCTCATCCAAAGTTCTGATCTCATTTATGAATGATTCATAAAGCTATTAGTTACAACATTTGAAACCCTTTAAAGGTAAGTGTTATCAGAAAGTGGGGCAGTCCATCAGTTTTCTTAAAAGTCGGAGGATCATTTTGGTTTATTACAAATGTAGCCCAAAAAAGTAGAATAGTTTTAACTCAGGCAGAGCACTGAAGTCATGCCTGCATTGGTTGTTTAATTAATCATCGGCTTATTAATCAGCTGTGTGGCTATTAGCTGGTAACATCCAGTCATGTTCATTATAACCCAACATTGACTATTACTCTGAAGATATGCTCAAGACTTTTTTTTAGCCTTTTCTGACAAATCTAACTGTGTAATCATTCTCAGTAAATTCCTTGCAATATTGCTGCAACGACAACAGGCCAAGCACAAGCAGTCAGGTAATGAGACAAGTTGTAAACAAGTAGACAGTGAAATCACATTGATCACATTTAATTTGAAGGTGCAACTGAAAGTGAGCACACTATAATAATAATAATAATTCACAATTACACTGGAAAACAATGTACAAACAACTAAGGCAACTACGGCAGGTCACTTTTGAAATCACTTCATTTTTTTGCCTCTTATGACACCTGTTGAGACCAAATCTCTGCAATGAACTTGATGAGAACACTGTTGTTATTACCTTTGAGAAGAATGGACAAAACTACCAAATTAAAGCTCAAGATGTTATAAACCAAATTTATCCTTTCAGCTTCCCTTTGACTCTTCCAGGTCGATCCAGTTGATGCCTCACACATGGTTTTTCAGTTTTGTCAGCTCAGCCAGAGCAACAGTTAGGGTTGTAATTGGAGCATTCATATTATGGGATGTCTCACTTTGAAGGAACACCTGCAAGTGAAAGTGTATCTCTATGGTCCTCTTCATGAGCCTTCACGGGCATATGGCCAAGAACGACAGAGAAAACAAGACCCCCAGCCCCCCTCTCCAACATTCAACACAACATTTCCTTTGAAGATGCAATGACTTGTGATCTACTACCCGAGCTACTCAGTATTAATGACCACACCATCATCTCTCTGTGTGGGTCCAAACTAATAAATTTTCCACTTTCAGTGTTATCGCGTCACGCTGACACTAAATTCACCCCCGGATGCTACACTTCCACCAGTATGTCTTTAGTTTTTCAAAAACAACCAGCTAAATCAAAAAGGGATGAATTGGAGTGAAGGGACAAAGAGTATTGTCCATTCACCATTGATATCAAGTGCATAATCCATTCATTAGCCTTGATGTGAACCACCGCTGACTACTTCGACCCCCATCAAACACCATAACAACCCTAAGAACAATACCACGCCAATTCACCCACCGAGGCAGAGGCAGCGGAGGTTTCCGGTGTGTGTCAGAGGGAGACGAACTCTACAATCAGGGAAGCTATCACAGTTGTCACTGTGTTTGTGAGAGGAGATCATCAATCATGGAGCAAGGAGAAAGGGCAGGCCCTACCCAGCTTCATGTTTACTATTCTCCGCTTTACAAGGTTTGGGAAAATACTACATCAAACTAGGGTCTTGATTAGGGAGGGGCAGGGAGAGGGGGTGAGGCACAACCTGACAAAAGATGGAGAGAGGGGGCCGACACCGGTAAACAGCGCAAATTTCCTCAAGAATGGCTGTCACTTACAGAAGCTGCTCCATCCAAAACCACTCCAGCTTCTCCATCACCTAAAGGTATGGATAGGAGGGACCTGGCACTTCACAGCTCTTCTTATCTGAAGAGCACAGCCTGGCCAGGACCAGGACCTTTGGGAGCGGCCAACAATGAGCCTTCTTTAGCACGGTGAAAGTGACAGCATGGTCCTTCCCCCTCCCAGCCATTAAACCTCTTCCTGGATAAACAAGGGGAAGGCCCTTTATGAAGATGGAGAGGGTCACAAAGAGAGGAGCCATTGAGCCACTGAGGGGCCCGTCTTTGTTTTTGTGTTTCGCAGGGTCTTCTCAATGGATGCTCTGGTAGGGGGGGGGGCTCTATTTTTGTCTTTAAGTCCTCCTTACTGCCACTCTTCTCTCAGCTGTGCCAAAACAGAGATGTAAACTTAATCGACTGTATCATTTGCACAAAGTGAGGAGTTTTTAATAACTTTTTAGTGACAGAGAGATTATTTGAGAATTCTATTTCTAAGATTTGCTCCTTGATATGTTGAAACATACATTCCCAATATGAGTGGGACATATAGTGCACCTGTCCTTCAAAGAAATGAGGGCTGCTTAGAAACATAGTGGTTACTCCTGCTTCTGTTATGACCTAATCTCTTAAATACCATGAATATTAAATAGGAACAACCAAACGGTCACGGTTTGTGTGAGTGTTTGCCTCTGGAGGTGCCACTGTTTGATGCTGTCAAAGGGAGGCCCTGTCTTCTGGTGATGGGCTGCCAGGTCTGTTGATGGGTTGCCAGATTTAGGACAACATGCTGTCGGAGCTGCCTTGTCTTGGGAGTGTGAATGAGGGGCACCTGTGACCTCTGGTCACGCTCTGCTTGTGGCTTGCTGTGTGAGCACCACGCTCAGGACACACGCTGGGACCGTCAGGCCTTCAACTGTCCACTAAATGGGCAACGATTGGACCGTCTCTGCAGGGCTGCTGCTGATCAGCCATTGTGCAAACACACACATCTATCAACAAATCATTTCAAATCAGATCAACAGTCTTTCGTCAAACAGTTGAAGCAGCTTTCACTCTTCTAGCCAGAAAGATGCAGGGAAGGTACCTGGAAAAGTAACAACATGCACTTACGCTTAAGTAATACCAGGATCGTGTTTAGCCTAGGCTTCATTTAGCCCTGTCAGTACGTTCATGATCATGCCTCATATATTTCAGATTTTCCTTCTGGCAGGCCTGCGCGTGTCAACAGACCCTTCCCCGCCCTTCGTACTGCCTAGCAGCATGCCTTTTGGGCACAACACGGCTTCTCAGGTTCCTTATCTCATTAGAGAGGTGTTTATTTCCAGCCAGAAAACATGTTTCCCTGTCACCATGAAAGAGATGATCAGGTGTGGACAAGGCACAGGAGGGGAGCTGTATTTAAACAGGCACTGTGCAAGGGGATGTTAATTGAAAAGATATTCCACAGGTCTGAGAGGAAGTTTAACCCATAGCATCACAGGCTCATCTGCCTCTAAATGAATGGACATTAATGATAACCTGATAGGGGTTTATGTCAGAGGAGAAATCATCAAGACACCACTGCAGCAGATATTGTTGTAAACATCATAGAAACATTTTATTAATCTCAAGAAACACAGTGCTTTTCAAGAGCTTTTCAAAGATATTATTGACCTCCTGAGGCAAATGAATTGTGCCATATCAAAAACAGAAAAAAACACAGCAAGCAAAAAGGCCAAGAATATCTGGCAATGTCCATATAAAAACACACATGTGTAAACATCCCTCGCAAGAAGGTTTTCAAAAATATTTACAAAATGTACAAAAATATGTATTATTGTGTGATAGTCCTTTTTTTTCCCCACAATCTGCTGATCTGATTTTCTACCATGGTCTCCACACAGAGTCTGTGGTGAGCGGAGGTGCAGCAGGTGACATGTGGTGACTGTTTTGTGCGCTCAGAGGTATGAGAGCTGCACTGGGAACAAGAAAAGTGAACTGTCCATCCGGCGCTGGCACGACCTGGAAGCCGCCGTAGAGCTTCATCGCTTCTGGGGAAACGTGCATCGCTGAGCCACTTTTGCACGGCATCTGTGGGGCTGATGCAGCTGGAATCTGTGTATTGGTCTGTCCAAGTCCAAGTATGGCTGGGTGAGGTCCATACAAGTTGACAGCGCTGATCTGGGTCACACAGGCCGCCAGGTGGCTGAGCAGGCGAGTCCGAACCTCTGTGTTCACCCCCTCACACGTGGACAAGAAACGAGTGACCTCTCCAACACACTCACTGAACCCAGCTCTGTATTTACCCAAGACGGATGGGTCTGTGTTCACAGCAGCTGTTGAAGAAAATAAAAACACATGAATATACAGATAGACAGATAGATAGATTGAGGCCTATGGTCAAACACACACAGCTGTGGGTGGGCAATAAATCTTGTAGACTGTGGGAACATGTTTACCATCTAAAGTTAGACATCCAAGAAATACTGCAGGCACATCAACATGGTCAATCCAGAAATGGTAGTTACATACCAGTCATCTGAAGTCGCTGCAGGTTCCTGAGGTGCTTCACAGTCATCTCCAGTATATCTGCCTTCTCCAGTTTGGAGTGTCTGGAGCTCTAAACAGGCAAAAGGGACAATTCAGTTTTGCATTAGCTCATATAGTTCCTAATCTGTGGTAAAATAATAATAATAATAACAATAATAATAATAATAATAATAATAAATAATCATAATCTGTGCATGTACTTACGTCTTTCTTGAGTGCGTCCAGGATGAGGGTTTTAAGCTGGCCAAGACTCTCATTGATGCGCGCACGTCTCCGCTTTTCCATGATTGGTTTGGAGGACTTGAAAGAGGGAAGACAAACACAGTTTAGATACTATGACAGTTTTGAACAGTTGTCAACGACAGCATCTCGCAAACAAATGAGCTCTCTAAGTAAAGCCTACCTTTCTGTTCTCTATCAGGGTCCGGGGTTTCTCGGGTGTGCAGTCCCCACTTGCCGGAGTGGCAGCCACAGCGGATGGGGACGTTCTTTCCAAAGTACCGGCGGGCATCTTCACCTTTATCAAAGACTGTGTAACGGTGAGAACAAACACTTTATCAGAGGAAGAAACGCTGCACAACAATAAAAGGACGAGTCCCGCCTTCTCCTGGCAGACCTCAGAGCAGTTTACTGGTCACAAACAGAAGTGACTTGTGTCTCCTCGCCAAAGCTGACACCCACTCTGCTCCTGTTTCCAGCACCTCGGGTCTTATTTATAGAGCTCGAGCCTGCACGCGAGCGGCTCGTGTGCGAGTTCCTGGGTTCCATCCGTCTGGCCAATAGGCGCACGGGCCCACCGCCTCGCCAGTACCCGGGAAGCCCCCCTCCCCGGGGAGGAACCAGTTTTTCTAACATTTTCACCACGTACTAATCTTGACCGGCGGCAGCGGAGAGTCCCGGGCAAAATTAGTGATAGTACAGGGCTCGTGTGAGTATTTTACATAGAAAAGTTAGTCCACAGTCAGAATGAGGGATGCTGCCTGTGAGCACACCTGTGCCATGTAGCCCGTGGATGAATTGAATGTGTTGATAATGTAGCTGAAACACACGTGCAGTTTTTCCCACCTGTTCTGCTTGAAGGAGAAGCGTCTTTCAGCAACAAGTTAACTGCATTAATGTTAAATCCATTCCTCGATTTAGTGAATAACCCATTAGTTGTTGAGGTGTCAGAAAATTTGCTGGTTTTAGCATCATAAATAGCCTGTACAACGTTTTCTCCTTCTTATATCCTTTCAAATTGATAGATGAATTGATGAAATTGATAATATGTTTTGGCATTGGTCAGACTAATTTAAGACTTCTCCCGAGGTTGTGGCACCCTTTGTACTATATGATGGACGTTTAATCATGATTTTATTGAGTGAATTATTATTTAAAAAATTAAGATAAATTATTCAATAACCTCCTGATTGCTGGGCGTCAAATCTCTCTACAATAAACTAATGAAACACATAAAAATTATGATTTTTTAAAAATAACTTTTTTCTCAACCACAACTCGTTACAAAAACATTTTTTATATTAGTATATCATCAATTGACATTTTTTCCAAATGATGAATTGACTTGAGAATTTTTGATGGATGTGGAGATTAACAATCACCTAATGTGGATTTTAACAGCTCTGTGGTAAAGTCTCTGCAACAGGACATGTCGATGTTTTAATTTTTCCCATTAGGTTGAAATTGAATATTTTAAGCCGTGTCTAGAGAAATTACTTTGATGTACAATCAATTGTACAGGTTCTTTCTCCATGTGCGCCTCTCGCTTTTGCACACACACACACGCTTTTTCGGGGGTCATTGAGTGCTTCAGAGTGGCAGTGAACACCTCATTCTCTGACACACTCCAGGCCTGATGTCCAGTGAAGAAGAAAATCTCTGACACACTCAGATGTCCTCTCACTGCCATGAACTCTGACACCTCCTGTCTGTTATCAGTCACTGTGGGGAGAAAACAGAGCTGAGTTACTTAAAACACGTCTGACGATTAAACTCAGTAAACTTTTAGAAATATATAAAAGGATGTGCCTAACAATTACTAATGTGATTCATGATCTTTTATAAAAGCAGCTGTATCAGTTTTTATCTGTTTTTAGTTTTTCTGTAGGATTTTTTTTTTTATAATTTTACTTCATTTCAGTCATAGCTAAAATTAGTCCATAGTCAAAATGTAAGAGTTACTTTAGGTATCACTGTATTAAATGTTTAACAGAAATACTTTTAGGATATTGATCATAAGATGTATCTACTAGAATGTATTGAATAATTATCTTAAGGTACACAACTTTGGCTCCAAACTCAAATTTTACAGTGTTATTGCTCTTTTTTCTCACTAATTACAATAACAGCCTCCATCAAACAGTCATTATTTATCACTCCATATATACCAGAAAGTGTTATGTTCATTCATTCAACATATAGAATCAGCACTTGCACAGGACAACATGCATTGATGGAAATGTATGAAAAGGATAAAGTGCTACAAAATCCTGTCTTAATACAAAAATCACTAAACAAAAATATTTTTTTATTTTCATGACTCTTTTATTTTAGCCTGCTACATGTGTTTGCTGTAGATTAAATTCACAGCTACAGCCTTTTTAATTAGTTGATAAATAAAAACTTTTCTGTTATAATCAAGGATTCATTCATTAACTAGCTGGGGCCTTTCTGTGTGGCGTTTGCATGTTCTCCAGGTACTCCGGCTTCCTCCCACAATCAAAAGACATGCAGGTTAAATTAACTGGCAACTCTAAATTGCCCGTAGGTGTGAATGTGAGCATGAATGGTTGTTCGTCTTTATCAGCCCTGGGATTGGCTTCTGACCTGTCCAGGGTTGTGGCTGCAGCTTCCCCTGGCTAATAAATAAATGAATGAAGAAAGAGTTAGGAGCATCTGGTCTGCGTCCTTCTCTTCTATTCTCTGGGTCCTGCTTTCTGTTCAGTTTCATATGAACTCTTTCAAACTAAAAACTCAAGTTACATTTTTTGGTCCTGATCTGTTGTTCATCTTTATATGCGTGTCTTCTTTCTTGGATTTTTTGTCTCCTTTTAAAACTTTTTTTAAAAACTTTTTTCCTGTTATGAAGCTTATTGTGTCACTGTATAAAGTATCAAATACATGATTACGTGATTATCATTATTATTAGTTGTCGTGGTGTGACAATTAAATGTTATACAATAAAACATTATGCCATACCTTGCAGAAAATGCTAAAAAAAAAACCTCCTCTGGTCTCCTGCCATTTTTATGATTATTTATTACAGAGTCGAGACGTCTTAACAGTAATCCTGCCCAATATCAGTGTGAAGAACTATTCCAGTCACTATCAGGGCATATGTTGCTGCTACCATATGATGTCACTGTTTTATTTATTGACAGACATCTTTGTCTGGTTCAGGTTTACCATTAGACGCCTCTATCCTCTCCGATAGACTTCAAACACTCCCTGTAAAGCTCCTAAATCCTCAGAGGTGAAATGACCCCAGAAGCAGGTCAGAGTTTGCATCCACAGCTTCCTCTCTGCACGAGCAAGACAACTTCAAGCACCACTGGCTTCTTGACCTGGGTCAATATTAAATGAAGTCAAATGAAAATCAAGTCAAATGACTTTGAAATGTTATGTAACTAATTAAACGTTAGTCAATATAGGAAAATAACAAGCAATGATTAATGAATTCTTAACAGGATATGAGGAGTTTTTGCTCTTTATTGACAACAGAACATAAAGACAGTGTTGTACTTGTTGTTATTGAGGTTTTTAGGATAAACTCATAAGACAACAAACAAAATGGTTTATTACCAGTGACACGTGGTAGAAATATTTTTCACAAAAAAAACTTTATATTGAGTTTTTTTGCTTTACCAAATTGCTCTGAAATAAAAACAGTTTCTGTTTCCCTCTGATGCGCTTAACTCACACTGACCACCTCCGCCCCCTCAACCGTTCTCCCGGGATCACATAAAGTGCTCAGTTAATCTTCTGACTGGATGTTTTAACAAGATGCTCCTTTAAAATAGCCCGAGGTCCCTGAACGCAGCAGATGAGAAGGTTTCTGGAGAAGAGGCCGTGCAACAATAAATTACGTCCCATCACTTCTGTTTTCAGCGAGCCTGCTGCTCTGCCACAAACAACCCTTTATTGTGCGGATAGAGATTTAGACATGAGGTTTATAGCACAGGCCTGATCTGTATCAGTGTGGGAACCCCGGGATGGGAGGCTGCGGACAGCGATGAAAGCTATCAAGGTTCAGCATGTGACTGATAACCACAAGGTGAGAGAAACAGAGGCAGGACATCAACCTTTAAAATCAAGAGGAAGACAGGCTTTCAATGTCGGACAATAAGATATGTTAGAAATAGGAATAAAGACCATGCATAGAAGGCAAGGTACAAAAAATCAAAGACAGACCCCAAAAAAATGTACTTTGAAATAAGTTAAAGATGAAAAGATCATTGAAGTAGAAGGTAGAATAAAAATGCACAACAAAGAATACTGTCTTTCCTCCGCCCAAACTTTGGTCCAGTCTTACCCGAGAGGAGAAGAAGTTTATTTTCCTTTTCTATTTAACTCATCAATTTAACTATTTTTCTCCCATATGAGGCACCAGGATAGCTGACTCATCTGCATATGAGAGCAAAGAACTTCAGCACACTGGTTTCACCTCATTATATAAAGTACACAGTCATTAACATCCTTTATCAATGGAAATTATTGGAGTAAAACATGTGGCATATTTCCACTCATGTAGTGGAGAGAAATTTGACTGATTGCAAGATAAAACTGACAAAACATCAGGTAAAACAGAAACACCCTGACACATGTCTTTGTGACAGAATGGCCACTTGCCAGTTGCCGTTCTCCTCTCCATCTTCACCTGGTCTGAAAGCTGTGGCCAGCTTTCTCCTCCACCCAGCCACCACTGCCATTTGGCAGTGAAATGACCATCCTCATCATCAAATACCGCAAAGGTTCCCTTTCAACTGTTGGTATGAAAACATCTCAGGCCAGGAGGGGAGGGCACAGACAGAGGGGATCACTTAAACATCTCATCCAGCGCTCCGCGCCTCCTCTCTGTCCCTCCTTCTGCCTTTGAATTCCCCCTTAAAGATGGGAGGGGGGCCCTCCCATAGCAACTCCCAGCCCCCGGCTCTGCCCGCCTTTTGTCCCCCTCCCCAACAGCAGTTTCTGCTCCAGAAGCCTTAGACAAGGCTTCCATTAATTGCGGGCCTGTGTGGAATACACGTGGGACAATGGGCCCAACAGAGTATCCGGCCCCCAGACAAGGCTGGAAACAAGTGGTACAGGAATCCGGCAGAATAGACTCGTCCTGGCTGATGTCACTGAATACATTTACCTACCTCAGAGCGCATTCACTCCGCGCTTTGTTTTATTTGGACAAAAAAAAGAAGGGGTAGGGGGAGGTAGTGGTATCAATGGAGAAGAGGAGCTGGAGGGGGTGGGCTCAAGGATGGGAAATAACTGGTTGTCATGGTGACATGCTGAATCAAA